ATCTAATATACAAATAAACATAACGATTTGGTTAGTTGACTCGGAGTGTTGAAGTCGGCAGATTTGTCCTTCTAGTAGCAGGACGCTTTACTATTAAACTGGATGATTAACTTCAGATAGTATCGGGCTTGCATTATGACAACTGCTTGGAACAGGCTGCTCTTTGCGTTCAATGCAATTATTTGTAGTTCAATTTAGGCAAATTTGAAATACTGGCGGGTAACGCGTTCTGTAATGAACCTACTCATATGATGCATATCATAAGAACCATTGGAATAAATGCCAATCAATTCCGTCTTATTCCTCGCTGGCAGCTTTACCAGACTTTCTAATTTTGCGGTGTCCCATTATTTATCTGACGGATTTCGGAAGTCGTCCGTTGTGTCCATTTAGTTTAAGAAATTACAAGTTCCCTTTGTGGGGAATAGTGCATGCTATAGAGTTATTAATAGTACGTAGCTTAAAACATAATACGCTTCTCATCATGGCTATTTAAAGTGTAGCACCCTGACTTTTATCTCCAAGGTATTTCAATACGACTTATACCTCTAAAAATTGGCCGTTTATTTTTTTGATGCAAAAAAACTACATAACCTTAGAGTCGTAAATTTTAGTGCAGGACGAAGAAAATTTTGCGGCTTGTCCTTCTTCGGGACACTTAATCTTAACACGACAAATCAATCTTAAACAAGTTAACGAATAAACTTTGTTTGCAATAAATCGAAATTTGGAATACACTGAGTATTCATACAACCGTGAGCTCTAAATTTTGCCTTGAAAGACGTCGCGGGTGTTTTCGGTATGTTAAAAAAAGTCATTTGGACTCATCTACATAACTAAGGCAATATGACACTTCCGTATGTTTGCGTACATCATGGGCTCAATGATTGCTTCTTGAAAAATATGTATTGAGATGGTGTTTGTAACCCTCTACAATAAAGTCGCTAGCCCCGAAAGGCAAGACTTCTTGAGTTTCTGCTAGAGGGCTAGTTTTGGTCCCAACAAATTTATGATATTACTTTGGTAGAAATGAAACCTAAAAAACCGTCAGACAACGATAATGTAATCCCGCACATTTGTTGTGCGACGTCAAAAAATGACAGGGACGTACTTTACCATCAACTGAAGGGGCCTATTATCAACTTAAAGGGTCATCAGTTTTATGGATTGGTTCGTTCAAAAAGAAACATGTTATTCACCTAAATGAAAAAAATCCGTATATGTCAAGAGATCATCTGTTCAGACTGTTTTTGGAAGGTATGGCGTTGACAACTTGCCAAAGCGCCAAGCTCTAGTGATTAAAACTAATAGCAAAAGATTACACATGTGATTAAGTAAAATATATAGTAGTTTAAAAAAGGTTGCACTCCTTTAAACAAATAAACAAACGCATTTATCGGTTCAACCAGCTATACAAATATATAAAGAACAAGGATTAGTTAGTGAACGGACAAGCTGTCTCAAATGGCAAGAGCGATCATTATTATAGGAGGGCTGTTCGGAACCTCTTGTTTTCTGGAAGTTTCTAGCGGCAGAGAGGCTTTATGCATACCTTACAGTCATATAGTATGGGGGTACAGTTGTTTGCAGCCCCAAACATGGTTTCTCTGATGGCCTGAGTAAAATCTACAAAACCACTCCGTTCCAGGGGTGTACCTAACTTATGCAAAATGTTCGTTGGCTGAAGATACAGGCATTGAAGAATCAAAAGTGGCTATGTATCAGTACATGTATTTGCTGGGAAGAAAAGGAGTAAGAGAGAAAGAACAAGCCCAAGAAGAGAGAGTGGAAAGGCCACGACGCTCATTCTATTAAGTTCGTTGGTCCTAGTAGGCTTCCAGGTTCGAGAGCATCGTTCGTAGACGGCGTTCTCCTGGGACATTATTTACGAATTGGCACTCTTACGCCAATTTTTTCTAGAGTCTAACATAATAGTGACCCGCTGGACCACTGAAACAGCTCTCCATCCTTCCTGCAGCCTGCTCTTATCGTCCTTGTTGTGTATTATCTACCTACTAAATTTTTGAGCCAAAAAAGAGAATTTGGATCGCTGTTTTGTTTATGGTTACTAATCACTACCTTTATTGCCATCGTTCGTCGTAAATAACTAACCCTTGTTAAACAATCTTACTGTAGCAGCCCAGGTAGGATTACTCGAAATTATGCCATTGAAGAGACAAACGTCAGTGTTCTATAGTGAATGAAATTGTTGAATTCCCCTTGCCGACGATTCTCTAAATCGTCAAGCTGTAGCGTATGATTCGCTTTTCTCTACATATTTTGTTTTCTGTAGTCATTGTTGTTAATTTGACTCTAGGATCTCCCTCATTCTCAGCTGTTGTACGATTTGCAACAGTCCTTAGGTTGCGCATCGCCAACCAACGAGTGTGCTCATAAACACTCGTTTATCAAGTCATGAACACTTTCACTGCAGTACTTACCAACGGGATTGGATGACTTGCCTATGCTACATTGGTAGTCTCTAAAAATCCATGTACCCAACTGCTATATCGTTTAATTTGGTAGAACCATATGGCCGTGTATCTTAATATTTATATCACCTACCTCTTTCATTCCAAAAATTGCCCACCTATTGAAACCTACCAACTTCATCCTTCCCGGACCTAGTTCAAGACCACGTTGATCGAAGATTGGACTGTGTTACAGATATCGTTAATATTGGATTAACATTCAGCTCCGTTAGTGCTATCGTTGCAAGGCCGTCAGCAAGCTTGGCCAGTTTGACCAGTCGTATCCTATATTCTTGAAGAAAGGGCTCACAACCGAGCTTTGCGGCAATCCTTTAGATATACGATGCGCTGTACTACTGTGCACAATGTGCCTACCATTCAGGTAGATAACCTTAAGGACTCGACTTGTTTTTCTTGAAATCTTTGCGCTATAGCCTTCCATGGTGTTAAATTAAATGCATTTATGCCAAATGCCCCTACGGCATACTTTTTCCTTTTTTACTTTGCTTCCTGCATGTCGCCCCTTCCCACCTGCAGTCCCGCGATAGCAGCGTCTGTGTTCGACCTCCTCTTCTGAGAGCCAAACTATTTATATAGAGGAAGTATCGTTTTCCTTGATTAATCTGTTAGAATTAATCTTTTTCGCCTTAACTTTGTCGAGCGCATTTTATAAACAAATCGGCTTGTAGACTGATGGGCTATCTTTGTCTTTACCAGTTTTATGGTTATTATTCCATCGTTTAGATTTCATGAAATAACTGCAGCAAATAACTCTAAGCCCTGACTTATTAATTTATTGAACAAATTTGCTAAAGCGCCGTCAGTTAGTTATTTTTTGGTTGGTTATTTTTTTAAATTTCATCATCTTAGCTATTTCGTCGTATTGCCTTACAACCACCGTTTGGGAGACCTGGGTTACGTCGATCGCCGCTTGACAAAAAATACATTGATTACATTTGTTATCACTTTTACTGCAACCACTTAGTCGGCTAAGTCGAAAAATGTTCGAAGCCTGCCATGTTTTAGCAAACTAGCATGCTTGTCTGAACTTTCCTGGCTACTTTAGCTGGCCGGGACACTGCCTTACACAATCGAGTAGTCTGCCGCCGTCTAAGGTGAAATACTTCCATTTCGTGACGCACATAAACAAGACTGTAAAGTGATAGGAATAGTGACTCCTATCGTTAGTCAGAATATCAAAAGCACCCTATCCAAACGAGCGTGTCTAACAAGCTTCCGTTCCAGTGGTACAGCCTTATTCAGTGCCTGCATAAGGAGACACTATGTTCAGGGCAAGTAGTGTAAAAACTTGCTGTCTCTAATGATGAAAAGGAGAGGTGTATCCAAAGAGTGACCTACGTAGCGAGGTCAAGTCAGCGTCTCCCTCTACTGTGACTCTCCTCCATTATGCAAACGATTTCTTAACACGCCTTAGTCACCTTCATACACGATGTTCCTGGCTTAAAATTAACTTGCTAAAGACGATAGCAATGAAGATCCGTTTGCCGCGTCAGACTCGCATTGACGCGTTATACAGTATGTTGAACCCTTTATCTGTCACAAATCGCCAATTACGTAAAGGCCACAGCTACTGACGCCCAGATGAAATCTTCGCTTAAAACAGCACGAGTTTCCTTTGAATCTAGAATGCTCTTGTGCGTCATATAAATTAGCGCTGTAATGGAACTATTTTCCTACCAGTCAATTTTCCGTCCTTGATCGAGTAAAGCCAGAATTTTTCAAATACGTCCTGGATCTCTATATTTCAGCAATGAATAGACAAATCTACCAGCTCTGTGCCACTCCGACTCTGGTGAAGGGGCCAAAATAAAGGTTTGACGTAAAAAAACAGAAAAGTACTAACAATTCATCCACGAGTACGACTTGCAAACGAATGATGTCAATTCGGGTGGGGGTATGGCAAATTCCGCGTAGACCGACAGTGGCAGAATGAAATCGTAGTGCATTACGGTTTACGGATTTTATGCTTGATACGCAGCTATGACGTTCCGAAGGTTGCTATTGCTCTCGATAGTGTAAGGAATCATTTACCCTATATTATACAGGAAGTTGCCTTTCAACGCTCGGTACGCTTATGGGAAATATATATTAGATATATATTTTTCATATTAGATATCCTACTTCTATAATTATGGCTACGATATTTTAAGTTTCATGTATCATATATAATTTACCTAACAAAAGGTAAGTTAATGTATATATATATATATATATATATATATAGAAAGTACCACATCTGCATTAAACCTCAGTTCCAACAGCATTTTTCTCAAAACATTTTCAGTAACTCATACTATACAAAGGGCGCCTATAGAAATTCAGTCTAATTATGCCTGCTAAATGTGCAATAGCATCTCTGCATCAGATTCTATTAAAAACGAGCCTATGCATTAGTTCGCATGATGAGTTCTAGCCGAACTCTCTGCCTTTTTAAGATCTGAAGCTCTATCCAGTACCTACTAAGAACATTAACAAACGAAGTAGCTTAGTTTGTTTGCTGCGTTTCAGGAACTTCAAACGGTGCCTCATAATTTACGTAAGTTACCTCTACAATATTTATAGCATGAGTTAAACTTTACGGGCTGCATTAAGTAAAAATAAGATGTCGCTTTTAATTTACACAAATTTAAATATAAAGCTTTAAATTCATCATTTTTTTTATGTCGGAAATAAAGTGTTCGACAGGTTATTTAACTCGATGAAATTACTACCTTCTTCAATTACTTTCTGAGGTCTCGTCTTCACATTTGCATAACTTTTGTTGAAAGATTCCCCTATATTAGCGAAAGATTTTTAGTAGTGGACATCACTATTAGGTCTACATAAAATTACTCGAATCACAGCCAGATACGTCCTATGCGAAAACTAAGCGCCATTTCAGGTGATTCTAGGTTTATGGTGCAAACATCTACACTGTTTCTGGATGGAGTGTATCTATCGTCAATCGAGTGGTCCATATAAGCTACAACCTTTCTCTTCTGGACCCTTTATGAGTATTGTTTTGTTAGACTCTTATATTTTTGGATCTTTTCTCCTACCGTCAGCAAAATTCGGACCCGCTGATTTCTTCTACCTTATCTGTTTAAACAAGATTTAACAATGCAGCCGATTATTACAACTGACATTTGCAAAGCAACTCTCGAGTTTCTTATTATCGTCTGTTTGTCAAAAATGCACGCATTCAAATTCTATGTTAACATGTATGCGTGTATGAGAGACTCTACATATAGATAAATGCTAGATAAATAGGGTACTACGATGTTAAAGTATATGATGTCCTACGTGACAATTACGTACAGAAAATGCAACCACATACTTTCGAAAATAGATTTTTTCGTTTCGATCGACGCACTATTATAGGTCAACTTCTTAAAATCTGCTTCGGTCTTAGTTATACGATCGAAGAAAATTACGTTAATTATGCTATAAATTTGAAGCTTTAGTACAAATGGATGAAATGTGCATCATGGGACTTGTAAGCAGAGCCCTGCTGGCAACGAAGACAAACGCTACCAAGTCGATATATATCCGATCTTCTTTGGAAGTATTCTCAGATACCGATGACATCTGAAACAAAAGAAAAGACATTCTCATTGCGCCGGAAGGCCAGCTTACCTTCAAGTGTGTTAGTGATAGGGTCTACCGATGCCCCAAAAACTCCAGAGAATATTGGCAAGGTTAAAGGAATGGATCAACAAAGGTGTACGAACTATCAGTTAGCGGAGCTTTGAAGCAATTGTAGCAAAAACCAACGTTTGACCGACACTCTACTTAAATTACTGTCGATTTTTTCACAAAAACGGTCAAATTCCAAATTGTTCATTTTTTGACAGTTGAAGAGCGTGAAAAACTAGAAATCGTATTTGAGTGCGGAGCTAAAGGACGCGACCGAAGTAAGAACATTTGTTGGATTGACAAGTTCCTTTTGACAATTTATAAAAAAAGACTAAGCAAATTATTAAGTCAATAAGTACTGTGCGGAATAAACAATGCGAAAAAGCTCTGAAAAATGAAAAAACGCATTTCTAAGTGGACGAATTCTAATGATATTCAGAACAGACATTTAGGTAGACCTAGCAATTTGAAACTAGTTTGTGAAGCTTTACTGCATCACAACGGTTCGATCGATACATAACAAATCATTATTTTCGATGTCAACAAGTTCTCCAAGACCGTTTATTGGAAACAATTTAATCAGCAGATGTGTAGGTTTCTGGAGTAAATGTTATTTCGATATGGTATACTCGATGTGATAGCTACCGATCGTCGAACTCAACAACAAACAAGCAAAAGAGTAATAACAGAAGATTTTGGAGATACTGCGTAGAAGCAAACGCGCACAAAACTTATTAGAATTACAGTTCACATTAATCTAGCACCGAACAATGGATTGTGCAGGCAATTTCCGTTTGTATGATCTTTGTTCACGAAACGACATGTTTTCAAAAATTACGGGTGCATAACAATAGAAAAGAATGAATACTAGCTTCGAAAGTTCCACAGCGATGACACCTAGCATCCAATTGCATACATATGGTGGGAAAAACTAGTCGTATAGCGCACGATATCTAATGGGCGATGTAATCGTCACCAGTACGCACTGACTAGTCTACTAAGTTGCAACCGGGGCTTAGAAGGGCATTTATTGTTGCCGTAAGAGGCCCACCGCCGATGGTTGCATCGCCAATAAAGGATAAAAGAGCGTTTTTTTGCGACTGAAAAAGTTAGCCGAAGTCGAGAGAAAAGAACGAAGACTACAAGCACAAATACAAAACCAAAAATAACGCCATATACTAAACGTCGTCCTGAAATGGACAATTAATGTTTGTCATGTAATGCCTAACAGTAAGCAAAGACTGACTTGGGATTCATTTAAACCTCAGCACCAATATATCCAGTAGAATAGGTTCGAATTGCTAGGACGCAAACGTATACGTCATCAGTCATGATTGTTTCACAAGTATATACAAGTACTATAAACTTAGGATATTACGAATAGCAAAGAATCCTTAATACATAAACATTTGCCGTTTGCCTAGTAAAGAGTTTAAAATAATAGATAGATAAAATGTGATATTTTTAACAGATGACTGCATTTCCGAATAAAAAAAACTTCTATAAATGAAAAATACGTAAGACTAGTAATAATAATAGCGGTAATTACTAAATTAATTGTCACGGTATATTACAACGTTGCCTGTCACAACAATCATATGTATTCGATTTCTTAAATGTGACACATAATATTTTTCGGATATATTAAAGCTTTATTAAAGCAGTCCAAAAATATTGTTCAGAGTACTAACATAGAGTTCAAAACGAGATGTTCATTAAAATACAGCATACGAACGAAAAAGTCTTAATTATTATATTTGAATATAGTGAAAAGCCGCAAATTTTATTTATAATAATTGACAGTATGCTTTGTTATCGCAACTCTTTTTAGATAAACGAAATAGGCCTCTTGAAATAGATAAAGGAACAAATACAACAATAATAATTATAGTTATAACAAGCTCGATTTACAATTATCTTTCTTCGTATTAGTGACACAAGATTATCGGGTGTGAGAACAACTTTGTGCCTTGAAAAGTTTACTTTTTTCACATATAACATAACATGCTTTCCGTAATATGTTGATTTTTTGTACTTAAAATTCATTAGAGTACCATATGCTTACCATCGATTTGGATGAATAGAATTTTGTATACACAACATTCTTAGTTAATTAGACTTAGAAATATCGAAAGATCCCGAAAGTTGACCTTATTGAAGGCGTAGCAATCATATGTAACAGTTGTTTACAGGATACGTGTTTTTGTTATTTAGTAGTCTTTTTTGTTTTGTAGGTTATTGGTCGTTCGTGCCGACTGTGTTCTACCGCCGGTGGTGGGATGCCACCGGAGGGTAGCACCTCCGGGGGCTCGCTACTCCTTCTCTTGCACCTCCTTGTCATAGGTTGGTACCCGGAAGCACATCTTCATTCTTTCAATCTACCACCTTATCAAGTGAACAAAGGTAGCAACTAAAGTTCGTGCATGACACAGTCACCGTAGGTCTGGCAAAGAGCCAACGAGTAGTCTTATATCAGCAGTGGGATAAGAGATAAAATTTTCTGCTCGAAAGCTGCTTTGAGTTCGATTTGTTCCTGTCTTTTTCGCGAGCGTTTTGGGAAGCGATTTTGTATTACCCTAATCTTATAGATCAGGATAAAGGTGATCTTATTCAAACAGAAGTACTTTCAGGGTCGCTCAAACTTACACCATCTATAAATTATTATATAAATGCATGCTTTTACGTATAAACAATGCTTGCACTGCGTGGTGTTACATTTGAATCTCGCAAATAATATCGAAGCAGTTCCTTTACTCATTGTGCATCGCTTATAGTTGCTGAATGTAGAATTACGAAATTTAAAAATTAAGAAACATGATGTACATCTTTAAGTCTGAAACGTTCAAATCCTTTCTCTTGAGAGAAACAGGCTTAAAAGTCAAGTAGAATCGATTTTGTAATTGATGCCCGCTCCTGCATCTTCGAGCCCATACAGGAATGTATATTGATGAGCAGACGATGAGGTCCAATAGTGAATTCCAAAATAATCTAATAGTAAAAAAAATAAATAAAGCGAATTAATAATTAATAAAGCTCACCAAAAATTGCAATATACTGAAATATTAAATAATATATATGACAATAACAGCTGAATGTAGATGTTTCAAGTCTTATACCTGGGACCGCGTACCCATTGTTTTAGAATAAAAATAAAATTTAGAACTGTAATAGAATTTCGCCATTTGGTAACTCCTCGTTTCATATCTATTTCACATATGATTCAAAATTTAGCTTCAAAAGATTTCTTTTGTTGCATATATTATACTCCGTCGAGCTTTGAGATTGAATACCTTTCGATAAATGTCCCGTCAGCAGACGAAATTTGTCTGACGTATACGTTAGTCTCTTAGAAACCTGTGAGTGAAGCTCGATTGAATTTACTTCAAGAGAAATGGGTTAAGAAGGAAAGACATCTACTAGTCTTGCTCGGTGGTTAAGCGGTCATTCTTCAAAACCCACAGCGTTGCGGAAATTCATCGAAGATTGATGAAGTCGTTAGGCAAGAAAGCCTCGGCGAAAGCACAGTACCTGAATGATGCGCATGTTTCAACAACTGTGCCTGGAGTATTGAGCATCATCGAAAAGGTAACCAGGTGTCAGTATCCGAAGGATAACTGCTGCTGTCGAGGCGGCTTTTAAGCAAAGCAGAACTCGGAGTTTAAGAACTCGATCGGTCAAAGCTGACATTTAAAGGTGCTGCAGAATTATAACCCAAATACGAAAAATACGAGAAGTGAGTAAAATATGAGTCTTTTAGGAGTTGACTTCGAGCCAGTTAGAACTATATATGGTGTTTAGCGGAACATTAATTAACGAGTAACTTGCCTGAACCATATGGTCGCCATAAGCGCAACATGTATCAATTTCCAGCACTGGCCAGGGAGAGATTAGGCGATAAAATGGCGTTGTCCCGGGGAGCAATCGAGCTCGGCGACAGTGTCGGGTAGGTTTGTACGTAAGGTGGTGGTAGTAGCTGCAGTGGACATCAAGGGCATTTGCTACTATGAAATACTTGCTGAAATTGAAACAATAAATACAGTGCGCTATCTCGAGTTCCTCCAGAGACTCATACATTGTCGGCCCGACGATAATGGAAGGCACGTAGTCTGGTCATTTGATGACAGTGTATGGTAACAAATTGCATATGGGAACGCGAATAGCAAACAGTTGTCTAAAAGCTAGCAGTATGTAGAAAATAAAGGAAGTACCTCTAACGCATACTAAAAATACCGTTCTACTCCGTGTAGTTCAAAATTTATAATTTCAGACTCCAGCCTACTAGAAATAAAAATATCACATGCAGAATGATGTCAATAATCGGCTTCAGTAAAGTACGATTAGCATAATTCATTATACATATGGCACAGTTTAGCGGACTGATTATACATAATTTTTTTTTAATATTTAATAAATTTAATAATTTTTTCAATATTTTAATAAATTTATTTATTTTACAATATATGCAGGTTGCGTGGTGTGCACGCGAGAGAACCATGCGGCTCTCATGAACACATTTCTTTTGAAAATAATACGAATTTTACGTTTGGTACTGACTTAATTAAACTTTTAGACGACTGCCCTTTCTCTAGAACAAGACGTCATACGTATTACAATCGGGTACCACCCGAGCATAAGACTCTCTCATGTGAGCCGAGCATGGAACTGAGTGTCGACAGCTGGACTTGGTTGCTTCCGCCTAGACCAATATCGATTAATTTTCTTGAACTTTTCTCTCAAGATTTACTTCAAAGTAACCCAAATATTTATTTGACAGTATTACGGGCTGATACAAGGAAGTGTCCATTCATTAAAGGGGCCTCCGCTTGCTCAGGTCTTTTACCTCTCCCGGCGTTCGTACTTCATATTTCGTCGAAACCTCACCCCAAAGCATCGTCTGCCCGGTCACCCGAACTGTCTAAACGCTTCTGTACTACCATCTAACTGGCATTTAGACTCCTGAAGGGTTTTATGCAATAGAAGTGGTTTAGGTATGAATCCAGGCGTTCAGACACTTGATTTCGTGCTCGGAGGAACCAGTTGTTGGAAGCAATACCTAATGATGTCGATACAGGAAGTAAAAACCCGGGATGTTTATCTATATGATCAAATGATGGATAAGGGAGTGTGATGTAGTGACGCTTCTATGTCGTAGTCGTCTATACGACAAATGATAACCGTCACGACGGTGATGGTGATGGTGATGGCATTTTTTCGAGATATAACAACGATAGCCACACTAAATACTTATTGTTGTTATAATTTGATACGGGTATGGAATTGGAGAAGTGCTAGTTTCGTCTGAAGGCGGCAGTATGCCATAGATTATTTTCCGTCACGTTATTCGTCGTCGTTCGATATCCGATTGATACCTGATTACCGTTTATTTGCTTCGCCTCCCTCACGCCTTCATGGACAGATAATGCATTTTAGTGAGTGTTCGCCTTGCTAAGAACGGTCTAGCTTTTCTGGCTTTAACGCACTACACGTACGTATATTGAATTTTCTCACAAAATACATTCAATTATTATAGTACGCGGTGCAACATTTTTACTCTAGGCAAAGCTTACCGCTGATATGCGTGCCAATTATCTACAAGACAAATACAACTGAAACAGGGTCGCGCCAATTAAAACCTTGTCGAATTCACTAAGACACATTAATACAAAAGAGAGAATATTCTTTCTTGAAGAAATCTCCGACCAAACGTGTTGAGGCAATAAGAGATTGACGAAGTCGATTACTTTACGCGCCGATAAATTTACGTCCGAGATGTATGATAAATATCCTTTACAGCCGAACACTCCGTGCTGTCCGACATTTTAGGCAGATTTTAATTAGACAGTTGTGCAGGTGCTATAAAACTGCAATTATCTCATTAGGAGGTGGCTTGAATACACGTAATCACGTACACGTTAGAATTCGTAAATTAGGTAGAGAAACGTGAAATTTTGACAGCTAAGTTGACTATTTAAGGGTGAATCTTGAGACCAATCGTAGTGGCGCACACGATGGCACAAACGGCTGAAGGTCATGCCTGGTTCACAGATTCATCCGTGAGCCTTGCAGGAAATAATAGATAATCATATTTATGTCTGCGTCGATTCCGCTTACGACTAATCTTTAACCAATAAACGTATCTGTACGTACGGTAGCGACAGTCATCTGGTAGTTGCGTTTCTTTGTGACCGCGAATCACTTGAAATGTTTAGCCATGTACAACAAAGTCATTCAAAGAGGTTATGATGATCCCGTGTATTATTTACTAACGTATTTGTTGGTCTTCCTGTTCAAGTCACTGCATGTGCATGTCGTCAATGATACGAATGATTCAAAGCTTTGTCTTGGCTCTTCTCAACCGTATTCAGGTTTGAACCTCTCTCCAACTGAACTACTGGAATTATCTCGGCTGCAGTTATTCGCTGAGTAATTTAGACATCATCGCATATCGTCTCTGTAGCATGAATAAGAGATTTATTACTAATTTTCGTTATTAGACGATTATGCTTGTCAAACTGCCTTCAGCCTCAGTTCGCGTCATCCCAGCAAGCGTTTATTTCGTTCAGACGCCATCTTCCAAGAACACTACACTCCGCTAATTTCCCGAAACGGCGATGCGTTTTTTTAACCCGAAACGAGTTTTGCTATAGGCTACGTGTACGTAGCGAAACTTAAAAATGCGCCAATGCCTTACAAAAATGTTGTTTTATGTACTCTTCATTTCATAGAGTTACATTTTGTCCATGACCTTAATCTCCGCTTTTGAGGACACCGCAATCATTACTAAAGCAAAAAGTTTTCTAGTATCGCCACACATAGATGGAATTACCGGTTAAATTACAGGCTATAAAATTTTGCGACGGCACACTAGTTGATGTTCTAAATCAACACATAATAACGTAACTTTCTTTTAAAGGAATAGGCGAGTCAATGGAAAGCCTACAGTGCAATTCTCTTTCCAATTAGTATCTGTCTCACGGGGACTGTATTTAAGTTTTATTATGGGCTACCTATAATTTTCGTTAAATTTCCTGTCTTCACTTAAAATGGCGCTAACTGTTAACCTAGGCACGTACGTAGCAGTCGAGACGTGTTTCACATGAATAACTAAATAAGAAAAAAAACGTATAGTGTCACAACGTCGCACTTTCCCTGCCTTAACCGATCTGTCATAATTATCAGCTGGATTTCTCGGAACTTCGGAGATTATCCTAACTCTCCTTTTCTGTCGTTTACAGAATTTCCAAATAAAAATATGTACATGTGAAGGATACAGTAAAAACTAACCTCAGCTTGCTCTTTATTTAATTTCTATCTACAGGGAAGGAGTGCTCTTGTTTGAGCCACCTCTCATTGAACGTTCCATTTACGGTGGCTCGAGGCAGCTCAGTTGCGTTAAAGGCGCGATTTGCCTTAGACAACGCGGCAGAAAGCCTTGAATCCGTCATCTGGTACCGTAACGATGAAGAATTTGTTAGACTAATCGTCGTCAGACCCGATGGAAACGGGCATATGGATATCTATACTGATCGGCCAGGAGTTCCCATCGACGTATGTGTCAGCAATCTCCAGCGGCGCAACACTATCAAAAATTGAGCAGAAATTTCGTCTAGTACACAAATTAGAGAATGGCTCTTTCATTTATAGGTAACTCATACCGTGACTTTTGAACAATAAACAGCATGAAAAACACTGCTTAGCGAAATGTTCAAATAGAAGTAACACTAAGGGCCATTTTTCGAGGTGGACCATCAGGTTGGGCGTATTTTGGCTCTGTTTATTTGCTGCCGCAAGAATGACGTTATAGACTAGTTCATTATTACTTTAAAACCTTCACGCTCATTGTTCAATGGTTTATATCAAATAGTACTATTCGCATAATTATATGCTTTAATTGTTCCAAATGTTTTTAGCTTTACGTCCGACACGCTAGTTGGCAACTGTTTCGAAGACATTTTATTGCTGTACCACTGGCAAGCTAGTCAACTGGGTATTCACGAGAAAAGTGCGAACTAAATGGAGTTTTAGACCTAATTACGCGCGTATACTTACAGAAGTTTACAGTGGATTCCTTCTTTCGCAAGTCTCGTTCTATACTATGGACGTAATGGAAGTTTTCCAGCAAAGTAAGCCAGTTTAGTTAGTACCAGACAGTCGACTATGAATCTGCTAAGTACGATCTGTTGGCTTTTTTTTTTTCTCTAACAGTGTCAAATTTTGCTTTGAACTCTAGGACATACAAGCCATTTAGTAGCTCGAAATAAACAAATATGACATCGATTTGGGTTACGTCTCCTATTTGAATGTTTACGCAGAGGCTAGGCTTTTAGGTGTTTAAATAATCGAACCAGGCGTCGGCTTTCTACGATTGCGCTAACTTTTATGCTGCTTTTTATCGGTCTAGGGTATGATTTGACGACACTGACTGAAAGAGAGGGTTGAAACATTTTCATTTTTTCAGCGACAAAAACTGCTCAGTCATCCGTTCTATACGATATTTATGAAACGCCATCTTGAACGATAAACGAACATCCGCATAATTTGCATATGGCACTAAAAAAAATTATGTGCACACAGTCAATCTACACGTATAAGTTAGCCCTTTGTCTGTCGAAGTATCTTAATGCGTTACGATCTTCTAAAATTAGTTAATCGCAATTTCTTTCTTTGCAATTATCTACCTTGTTTCTAAGCTTCGCTGACCACTTTGAAGTACCACCAAAGTAATCAGCCTCACAACCAGATCCCCACTCTGTCATAACTATATGATATACTGAAATCGATATGTTTGTCTTTTGTCGCCCGTGCGTAAGCTACAAACAAGCTATGATTGACCGTTCACTGATTTGCGAGGCGGTTTCGCACGATACGTATAGTTTAATGTTGATTTCATGACTTAGATTTTAACTTCGAGAAACAGCTGAGACCTAAGTCGATATCACGTCTTTTGGATCGCTCTATTTATGGATAGATTAACAATGCGTTTTTTAGTATTTTTCGCAATTCTGTTGATCTAGAGCACAAGAGAGCACTATGTTCACTACATTGATAATCAAAAGATCCGTGACCGTATCGTATAATCTGTTGTTGCATTCCCAATGAGTAGCCATTGACGAATGTAACACGCTATAAAGCACCTAATTGATCTCACTATTTCAAAATGATCAAGTCGTTCATGTCTTGCTGTTCATATTCCATACCTAATACTTGTTGAATAAAATTATCTAAAAATCAATTTAAGAAAGCTGCAGAGAACTCCCTAAAGAATGGTTGAAAAAGCATTTTCGGATAGCTCACGCTTTTATGAGTCTAACATACCATCGTTTGCCCTATGTCATTCATTGAACTAGGAAGAAAAACGCTTTCAGAGACGAACTGACTGCAGAGAATGTTCCATTAAAGCGATAACATACTCTTTCGGCAGCTCCCCGTTCTGTTCTCAAAGATAACTGCAGTGCAATAGTTAGATAACTATCTGTCATTCCAAAAATGAAACAACATAAATTAGTTGAAACGAGTCCCATAGGCGCCCTCAGATCCTCACGTCCATTACAAATTCGTCTTATCTTTGTCTGATTACTATTCTTCTGTATCGCCCCTTTTGGCATATACCACGGGAAACTGTTCTGGATTGCATAAATGCCAACCGTATACCAGTGTTTCATTTTTGGTTTATTAGAATTATGCCAATACGGCATGGTATCTTGTCGAGCTACCTTTAATGGTGAAATCGTCTGTATGAGCATTCATTGCTAATCATTTATGTGCTTATCGGTAAGTATTAATATTAAGGGAAGCCTATAAGACATGGAGCATTCGATGCAACTAATTGACAGCGTCGGATCTTTGGAGGTAGCGTATCTATCCAGCTCCTGCGCACAAGTTTCAACGGTTTTTAAAATGGCTTCCTTTGTAGATGTTCGTTGCTCTGGAATAGCATAAAAAGGCCATGGCCTTAACAGTTTGCAGATCTTTCTTGACAATTCGCTTAGGATATAACGTTAAATCTATGCTCTCATGGTAGATTCCGCGCTTGCTGGCATATGTATCAACCTGCAGCTGACATGCTGCTTTTAAACGTGCGCGATTTACCACCGGACTTCGCCATTAATATGCTATGCGTGTCAAGGGCTTTCAGGGAATATCTATCTCTTATAAAGTTATGAATTTCATGGATAGTAGTCCATTTGCTTTTAAAATTCCTTTATAAAATTGACGTTTTGAGTTCGAACGCGCGAAGTGACTTTTTTTCTTAATAATAATTCTTATTCGTTTATTCGTTGTTTGCGCCTTCACGGCTATTCGATGGTACTTTTTTTAGCTTATTTAAAGCGTCTACAGCATACCTGTAGTGCTTCTGTAGACTATAGCGCGTAGTACTCACGCCTGCTCTAGCCTGGGGCAGGCCTTTTGGGGATGTAGGGTATAAAAATTCGACCTATTCCCTCTCTCAGAAGAATTTAAATTTTGCTGATGAAAAACCCGGTCAAAAACTGAAACAACATTTTCAAGCCGAGAATAATACATCTTTTTTGTAAAACGATAACATTGTTACATGGATAAGCTACAAATAAGACTGATTAAATTATTTAAACTTATAGCTTGAAAGGACGGTAGGATATTTTGCTTGTGCGTATCAATAAGTAGATAACGAAACATTGATGAGTATTTCATATATTCTATTAGGTCGTTTCTATCAAGAACTGCATTTTCTGAATATAATTAATGAACGTTTTGAAAGGGATTTTCAAAACGTTCGTTAATTATAACCTGAACTTCAAAAAATCAAGGGAAGTGGCTGAAGGCTATTCCATAAACAAATGATGGGCATACGAAGTTGAACTTTAAAAGCACCTCCCGTTAGCGGTCTAATCTATGAAAGAAAAACAAATAAAAATTTACAATGCTATGTGGTATTTGAGCTATCCTGTTAGACTCCTGTACATTATTTTGGTACCGACCAAAAATGTTTGATTCGCGACCTTTGACACTACCAGAGAGCTAGACATTTTCACATAAGCTAACCTGAAAACGCGAAGGGTCATAAAGTACAGTTTTAGTCGAATTCTGGGTCACGGCTCTCAAGACACTACTAAGACTAACACATGTTATAGGAGGTAGGAGATCTCTTCATACTGCTAAATTCAATTGAAAATACATTGGATTTTGCAGAAGTACAGAACGGTTCTTCGTGACGGATTATGCGAGGTGGTTCTCAAAAATGTCCCCTTCGAATCAACGGGTCGATACCGAGTCGAGGTCAACACGGCCCTTCCATTTCCTTCACAAATGAGCACCGAAGAGGTTATGGTTGTCGTAGGTGAGTCGTATAAAGTGCGACGCAATAAGCAGATAGAATCCACAGGTATATCCACAGGTAAATAGAAACTGATAGTATTGCTCTTATAAAGTTAGTTGTTCTACAACCTATTGGATTTACATTTAGACATAGTTTAGCCTATCTCGAAGTGCTTTGTATTCGACACCATAAATTTTGTCGTCTTATTGTAGCCTATATAAATTTATAACATAAAATAGATTAGTCGGTAACGTATTTGTCTGCTAAGTTTAGTGACACATGATGGCCTAAGTTCGAATTTGGCGATGGCCACGCTTCGTTTCGCGCCGTCAGCCAGCCGTCTGATGGAACGCTTAACGGTGCCGGATGTAAAACTCGAAATTAGCTTAGATCCACAGGCCTGAAAGCGAAACCTTGGCCTGACATAAATATTCCCTTCGTGCAGTGGTGGAATGATTTTTTTCTTTTTCATCCTTCGACACAACCAAAATTCGCCGTGATTTCTACTACCGTTTTCTTCTATACGGTTATCAGTCCGTTGCTTGCTATTCAACTGGAACTTCTGCGTTCATTGTCAAAATTGGCTACACATTTTAATCCTAACAGATGAGTCGGAGCTGTATGTCCGTTATTGCAGACTGTTGATATGCAATTATCAGTAACTGAGTTATCTTGAAATAGTACGTCGATTTTCTCTTCTGCTTGTTCGTCGCGTGACTAGCTGTGTTGATCGTGGCTCCACTATCTGGCGAGCCAACGAATTCACAACAAAGTAGCAACGTTCGGTTTCTTCTACTATTTTATTCTATTCGGGTTCTGTTTACTGGAAGGATCGTTTAGTAACGTAGAATGTCACTTCTTGCACATAGAATAAATGTTCATTCTATTTTTGTTTTTTTAGTTTAACGTATGTAAAGTATTTCGTCTATAAAAAAAATTATCATTTATACGTCAAATGCATTAGATACTTTTAATTGCCTCCATACAGTTACTTTATCTCTTCTGCTACTTATTGCTGCTGATAGTTAAATTCTCAAGTACACACCATATCGTTCTATGGTTCACTACTTCAGAGCGAAGTGAGTTCGCTTGTAACCACACAGAAAATAAAGTGATCACTAAATCGCTAGCTTCACTGATCAGACACGACATCATACAGATACCAAAGCTACATGGACACCACTTTTTAGAAGTAGCACGGTAGTATCTTATCGGAACATGTTTTATGACTATCATCTGTTAAAAGATTTGTGAAGTAGGCACTTCTCAACAACAGTTAGCGTAAATATTTTATTATAGCAATTTTAGATTTGTATCGGTAGGTAAATTAAACCGAGTACCCCATCCTTACACTACATTATCGATTCGTACCATTCAAAAATGAGGCCCTTCATTGGCTACGTATTGACATAGATAATATATTTGTTCAAAATGGATTCAGACAGGAAGCAGAAAGGAAATCATATTTCGTTGTAATGAGTTTACCGTTTCCCAACGCCAACGAAGATTTTCAGTACAAGGAGCGTACGAAGAAAAGCCAAATAAGGTTTTTGCAAAAATACTCTATTTAGATTAAAGGGCCACCGAACTGTAAAAAGAGTTCGCTTAATTTATTTTACGAGGTGCGTAGAATTACGCTGCAAAGATATCGACTGACTTCCAACTGAGTGGCAAATAGAACAAAAGAATTAGACTAGACCATACAATTTATGTGCTATATTTTCCAAGTTGCAATTCTCAGCTCAAAATTAGCAAATAAGAAACCCGATCGACATTTTAACACATTTCTATGTAGACTGTCATTTATTTCTAACAACCCCAACCTTAATTTTTATTTTCCCTTCGGTCTGTGGATATGTGGGACCGCTGCATGGACTTGAAAGGCAATACAATATTATATCTGAGGTGTGCTTTTTATAATGATGTGTCCATTGAGCTTCATCTACGATCTAGGTATACCACCTACGACTAGAGCTTTGGTTGGAATGGTCGGTTCAAGCCTTACTATAAGTATACATATATGCATATAAAGCCGTCATCACATAGGCGATATATTAGAATCGTTTAGGGACTTTTGGTAAATGAAGTTCACTCATGGTAAAGTTATCTAATGACACACTTGTGCACGTGTCCGCTGTTCTATAATTGTCTAAGGAACGCGCGAAAAGCTTCATAGTCGTTAAACCCTTACCATAGTTGACTCTCTTGCTTATCATATGTTACATAAGCCCGGAAATGCCCGAGACGATCAGATGAGAAAACACCTCAATGACTGACAATGGGTCAACGTTGCATAGAACAATGTCGAAGAAAGGGGACGTGTTTATGATGTATCGGATGAAATCCATAACAAGCCTCCTTACTTCTCCCTGGTGCGCTTAGCGCTGCACGCGACAGCCCTGAATCAGCCCAAATGACTATGGGATTGTCGCATTTCTTCGGTTAGCTCATCGGCTATTTAAAGCTTGTTATTTCCTAAACTACTATTATATAAAATTAACTATGATGAAGAGATATTTTATCAATGTCCGACACATCTGCAAGGAATCGACTTACTAGAGTCATAAGTATACTCGTACTGAAGTTCTCATTAGGCTCTATTCCTTTAGCCTTTGTTAGTTCCTTATTTTTATGGCCTTCATTACTGAAATTCAAATAAGGACACAATAATAAAATGCTTACCTTGAAAAAAAAATTGCAAGAAGTTATATAAACCATTTTGTACGTGATCTAAAAGATAAAAAGAAAAATTATTGGGCGCTCACAGAAATCAACCTAAGTGCATGCGGAGTCGGGATTGCCAGTCAAAGATTCAAACTTTCTTCATCAGATAAAATAAGGGAAATCAGATAAAAGAGAACCGCGCGCGACGTATATATATATATATATAGAGAGAGAGAGACAGCGGCGCGTCTAAATTAAGATTTTTTTATTTGCTTCTAAGGCCGCCTATAAAAAAGGACCAGGTGTTTTAATAACATTTTTTGCATGTGCTCGGAGTGTCAGTGCTGAGCGTCATATTTTTTCAATTAACTGTGATTACACTCAAGTTAGGATCTAAGCCACTAACTAGTTTCTTTCACAATATTCCTCTTTTAAATCTTTTTAATAGTAAATTTGCATCAAGTGATATTGGTAGGTGTGAACTTGTTAAAATGTTGGTGAAATATGCCACGCACAAAAAATTCTGAACTGACAGCAGGCTAAAAATCTAAAAAAGAATAAGGGTTCAAAATTGCCGAAAAGAGCAAAAAAACTAACCATCAGAGCCTATCTGGATGACCTAATTGACAATACATATTTTTCTCTATAAAGCGGTCGTTATATGTACTGAAACCTATTAAAAATTGTTTTACACGTACATTTTCGAGCCCTTTAAATTTAAATCCTATTGAGGATGTTACGTTCATGTAAAACATTGGATCATAGGTGACCTTCGCTTAAATCTCAAAGATGATACACTTTGTCCGCAATAAAGAGTTTATTGCTTTGTTCTAGGAGGAATCGGCTTTCCTTTGATATCATATGTAGCTGACGAAACGCATGCGTGTTACGACAAATAAGCCGTCAGAGCTCTTGCCAATTCGAACGTACCCTCTTGAATCGCTTTTGCTATCAGCAAGCGCAGATACTAGGCTGCAGTGAGCCATGTCGAGAATAACAATAAAAAAAAATGTAATTTTTCGCTGGGGAATTCTAAATTCTTGCAATTAAAATATCTTTGATAATTAGAGACGTCTACACAAAAAATATCGTACGACAATGGAGAAATCGACAATCGCTAATAAAGGCAGCTAAAAAATACTAGAAACAGAAATGTACGGTTACGTTCCTTGCACAGATGTTTCAGAGGGTAGCCATTGCGCTCTGCGTGAATCTTCTCTGTTAGTAATGAAAAAACAGATCTAGAAAGCATAAGGTTGGCCGAAAACCCGAGTGTGTGCGATATATTAATACTGTAAGCGAGAAATTCTGCATAGGCATATATATCTGCATGCTTATCAATATTCTAAAGATTAAAAGATAAAAGGTTGTTTTCTTAGCTGTACCGTTGATAGATTTATGATTATCGTTTCAACAATACGTTCAAGCTATTATTACGGTCAAAACCTGGTCATCAAGACCTTCTATTTGCAGCTTTGCATTGATGAAAAAAGAACGATTCAAACAACCGATCGCAGCCAACTGGTACTCCCTTACCTTATAAACAGCCTTAAAAAGCCTCTTATAGCTAATGTCACAAGGCGTCTTTGATGCACTCGAGTGTACCTGAATAGATTTCTATACAGGAAATCCTAAATCGTGCTGAAGCATCTGAACAACAGCTTGATTGACCTTACTTAACATCAATATGGATCCCTGACATATCCTAAAAATAGGTGACATTGGAAAGCTGCAATAAACAGCTAATTGTGTCACACACCTTCAACCAAACACTCGGATTTATCCATCGCGTACTAATATTTCAAAGTATGTATAAGTTAAACTTAATAAATTATTTGAGAGACTATTACAGTATATGTCTCCAACTCGTCAGGTATTCAAGTTTATTATGTTAGACTCTAATGAGTGGATATGTCGTAGCTGCAAAGTGCTGACTAAAACGTTATCTGCAGCTAAAATGTCCCACGAGAATGAACTGAAGAAGGTATAGTTTTACTGGTTAATTAAGTGAAATATTTCGAAACCACTCTTTGTATATAAATGATTTACGTCTCTAGGTATATGATCTTATATTGTACAAATAACCCACGGCCTGTGTTAAATTACTTAGGAACCTACAGTACGAGGCGTGCCTGAAGGAAATCTTATTAAACTCTTGATGCATTTATATCTTTAAGTCTTAATACTCAGTTCAAGTAAATTACTTTTCTACACTGCTACTTTTCTTCGGCCAACAGTAGAGTCTCGACGATAATGGTGGCGATGCTCTGACAAAATTGGTTTGACATATTCACGCGTATTCACATTTGTTTCGAATATTTCACGGTCCATCGTCTCTCCTTTATTTGAATGAAACGGGTCTTTGAAGGTTGCAGATGGGAAATAATAAAGTCACAGCTTTTGTTGTTGTCGGCTGATCGTTGGTAACGCTTTTCGCTCGGTGTTTGACTGGCGGAACAAGGGGATAGGACGTACTCGAGTAATGAATACGGTGGGGTCTTACTTACTAATGAAAATCTTCTTAAATTCGCCTGGGTTTTCGTGACATCTCCAAACGCCCACCGCCTTAGTGCTCTTTGCTAGTTATTAGTACCGACTACTAGATTTCCTTTGATCAATCAGATATAATAAGCTGTCCGTTCTCGAAATGAACATCGGCTGTTGTTTATACTAATATATTGAGTTGAAGAATCGCAAGCACTTATGGGATATCGAAAGTTGTTCCGACACCGAGAGGACTGAAAATAATAACCTGATGTTATTTGTTCTAAACACTTACCAGGTTTATCGCTATTTAGATTTTGTACCATACCTTGGCGTGATACAAGGGTTTCATAGATACAGGTTTACTATGAAGAGCCTTGGTGTTGTGGCGTGCTTTCTGTGATCATCTTTTCTAGATAATCTCTTAGCTAGCATTTTGTTTCTAACGTTGTAATACAGGAATTGATAAAGGATACGTAATTAGTTGCCGAGTAAATTCAGTGCTCCTGGAATTGTAGACAAACTCGAGTTTCTGTACGTGTTTTTAGCTTTATGTTAACTCAGTCCAACGGGTTTTGATTTGCATTGAAAATGAAGAACAATGTAAGCCAGATATCCTATCAGGGACCGCCTACATATTTATATCCTATTTCGTGCGCAGTTTTGAATCATAGTCCTGCTCAATCTAGCGCCAATCACTTTACAAATACCGTACTTTAGGTCATGGATTATTTGCGTCATTGTCTTATAGATTATGTCGCCCCTACAGAGAAAAATCAAGAGGAGTCAAACCACAGGAGCTACTCCATTTCCTTGCTGCGTATCAAGATCAGCCGGCCTGGGAATATGGTTTTAAGTAGATTGAACGTTTCCCACACTGTGTGGCAAGCGCTTCATTTTGTTAAAATCTTATTTAATTATAATAAAAAAATTTAATTTCGTTTCGGGTGATAGAAAGGTCACGATAGAGCTATTGATTACTGCTGACGTTTCATCGACATTTTTTCATATAAAGGTAGTAATGACACATTCACTTCGTAGTTTAGTTAAGTGGTTAAGAGTTACAAACAACGTACTTCTGTTTATTCATATAGCCATCCAATTGAAAATGAGTAAAGAAAATAACGTAATCAAGAAAGTCGTTAGCATGCGCATTGCGCTTCAAGTCTTGATCAGCGAGGGAACGATGCTCATAATGGTCCTATATTTATTATGGTTATGGATTTAACCGTCCCTTATAGAAATGATGATACAAGTCAAAATAAGATTTCATAGGCCGAGTTGTTAAGCATGACGTTCTGCGGAGGTTGCGGAACCGGCGTCCATATTACAGCATTGATGTTATGGCCTTTTTTTAGTTTGCCCGACCTTATTTTGTCTGCGAGTGACAGAGTCTGTTCGAATTTCTTGACCAATTTCTCTTGAGTTTCCCGAGCCAACAGGAAGTATAGTCCGTATTCTGTACGACACTTGCAGAGTGTCATCGTAACCGACTCGTTACTTGGGTAGGTTTTAACGAAAAACGAACGCTGCTCCAAACTATAACGGCCTATCCTCACAAACCGCAAACGCTGCTGCGCGTAACGTTTGACAGTCTGCTAGCCTTGCCTGTTATACACAAGGGAAAAAGGACGGCATCGGCCTGTTACATAGCCAGTTTTATTTCTTTTTGTGTTATTTCAACTACTATTGCAAAATAATATAGTTGTCGTCCTGATGGATATGACAATTGATTTCTCGGGCACAAGGCTGCCAGCAGCTACCTAAGCTACGTTGTCAACTTCATTTGAAAATGTTAACAGAGAGATTGTGCGACTGACAAACTCCAACGGCTACCGGCAATTAGGTGTCTGAACTGGATTTCGTAATGTGGAACTAGTCTATTACTGGTGAAGGTAAACACTTTGAAGGGAATTAGTCTTCCTCGCCTAAAGGATTATCGACTCGGGCACGCTGAAATCCATTAAAGACAGGGACTTCACGTTTATTAGTCGTGGAGCGCATAAGAAGACGTCAGCTGAACAGTGCTTCAAAAACAGTAGAAAGAAACTCTTTCATATTGTTTTATTCAGAAGAAGGGTAAAGGGAGGTAACTCTTAGGCCATGGATAACAAAAAGCTATACAAGAATACGATATGCTCTGTTGGCAGGCCTATCACAAAACTAGTTGGACTTGAAACTAGTTGTAGTTAAAAAAAACAGTGTTATGAATGGCGCAAGTTATTTTTACCACATATTATAGTAAATGAGCATGTAGTCAGACTCTAAGTATATCGCATTCAAAAAAGCAATAATGTTGCGTCAGTTGCCAGTGGCGTATCGACGATTCTGGAATAGATATCCAACTCAACATAGTAAAAAATTAAATCTAAACATTAGTACATAGCGTTATTACTTAAATTGCACCTTGTTTATAATTCCATCTCCCTTCAAAATATAATTGGGATAGATAATCACACTGGGGTAGTAGCCTATAGACAATACTGTTCCATTATATAGAAAATCAATAATAGTCACAAAAATATTGTGAAAGATTTGTCTTCATTCACCATGATATGCTTACAGATAAAGTACAACTTTTCAGGCTAAGGAAGCTGTTTTTTTTTAGCGTACGCACATTACTCGGAATGGCTGCTCATGTGACTCTTTGGCAATTTTCAGTTCCGCCTCGAGACGGTCCCTCCATTACTGGAGGTATCGAGGACACAAAAGAGGGACCTTTTCTCGACATGATGTGTGTCTCAGGAAGGTCAACGCCCGCGGCTCAGCTTCAGTGGTTTATCAATGGAAAACCGGTAAGTGTATAAATCTACGCAACATATTTTGTGTGTTCTCTCGGTCATTTCATCGATGATTTATCAAAGTTTAACATTGGCACGCAGTGATGTTGTCTGACAATCAATGGCAGTCATGGGTAGCATTTCGAAAACATAATACCACAAGACAACTATGCCCGCGAAATACATTCAACTTGATTTTAATTAGTGTTTGTATATTTGTGGCAGCGCATGAAATTTGCGCTTGGTTCGCATCATCGTTATCATAAGGGAAGTCACCCTGAAAAATCTATGTAACTGGTGACATCTATACTTGCTTGGTTATGAGAATAATTATGTTTAAAAGGTAGCTCGGTGTCTTTATTAAGTTTTAGTTAGACCATTATTTTTAAAATTGCTGTCTGTAGCTGGAAATCTGTACGACATGCTTTTTTTGACCTCATAGTGCCAATAAAGGACTGATATTTTTTATAACCAAAAATTCGAGCGTCCTCTATTGATATTTCAAAATTCTATATATTTGAGAGAGCAGTAAATGTACCGACGACGAACTTGACCGACTGATATGATGACTTCTAAATTAATTATAAAGATAATCAAGATGTGTAATGTCGAAAAAGAGAGTGCGACTGAGTTACAATTCAGTTTCAATGTTAACTTTTGTCTCTGATAATAAAAGGAGCTAGTAGGCTAGTAAAAAAAAATATTCGTCTCAAGGTGTATATCCTGTTATAACATAAAACAATCGACACATACAAAGTAATAAGACACACATAATAAGATTGCTCGCGTATCACTTTGTATAATAAGGCCCGATTGCAAGGACAATCTGTTTAATAGATAACAGAATAGTATACTGATAAGATATTATTACTCCCTGCAATTAACGACTATTAAAAATAGTTATACCTAATGCCATGCCCATCGTGTATTCCCTATTCCGAATAGCGGAACGTTTTTTTGCAACCTTTATCCTTATGCTGTGTTCTCGGGCATCATCTCCAGAAAGCGCTATTTCATTTCTACCGCTAATACTCTACATCGAAATTTACGAACCCACTTTGTGCCTGTAATGGTTACAAGCACAACATCCAAGGCACATTTTAGTATTCCTTTGACAGTAACATCATTCTTCTAGTTGTTGCAGTTGGTTTTAACTTGAACTTCACAGACGAGATTTACCAGATCTATTTTAGCTTGTGTCGCTTAGTTCCTGGTTGTCAGTAACATCTTAGATGTCATCGACTCCGCTATACGCAGCAGCATGAACACAGACAATCGTTTCTCAACAATGGAGAAGTAAGTTTGGATTCTGAAATTAGTGGCTGGCCAGGTCGTATATTAAATATGGAACACAATTCGTGTTGAGATTTGTAGTAGCAGTTTGGCTATTTATGGCGACTCGGCAGGGATTTAAGTCCCGGTTATATAAATTCGTATCGAATTAATCTCCTCAAGTTTAAGGCAGAAATATTCATTTGTGGGTGCGCATATTTAAAGGTGGCTCCATAATATCTATCATTCTTTTCTAACATATAGGATATAAGTAGCTCGTAATGTTTTTCTTTTATAGAAACTAGTGTTAATTGCAATAATTATATGCTGATTTATCCTATGGAACGTCAAAATGGTCACGATGCTCTTGATCATCAATCACTGTGACGGAATCCTTTACGGAATTTTTGGCGGTCGATAATTCCTGCAAGTAAAACCTTTTCTCGTTGTAATCACCACATTACGACCTTCGGTGCTTCTCTTCCAAAACGACCGTGTTAATATTAGAGACTTCTTCATAACCGCCATCAATTTAGTAAACAGATTACCGCTCCATTAGAAAAGAAGAGAGAACTCCTAGTTCTGGTGTTTTGATTAGCAAATCGCTGCGCCACCGTACGGTAGTGATAATGCTGCACACGACCCCCACGCCTGGTTACACACCCACACAACTACTAAATCTAGGTAGCCGGCTACATTTTGTCATAGGTTTAGACACTTGCCCGGGTGCTGAGCAATTTCTGTAAGACTGGAGTTATGGATAGTTAGTTTTTTATTAATGTAGTCCCTCAAACCTTTCCAGTTGACATTCTCCGCTGAACGGTGAGTTAGCACAATGTTGTTGTCAGAGCTTCTATGCCCATGCGCAACAGCACGCGTGGATCCGTGGAAGGTTTTGTACAGTTGCGCTAGAAGTAAGTGGCCCTATTTGCTGCTGGAAAAGGCCTGCTTTTTCTAGTGTTTCTTTGTTCGAAAGTTAACTTCGTGCCTAAGCAACAAGGTATGGTGATACCATTTATATTGCCTCGCCTCTGACTGCGTAAGCTGGTTCACTATTTTCTCTTCGTTTATTCCAGATCGAGTCTATGTTAAGAGAAATGCTAAGCGTGGCCAGGCTGTGGTCACACTTTCCAAATAACCTCGATAAGAAAACAGGTTACGCGGGCTATTATAGAAGGTCGAACTGCCACTCCGCTTCTACGGTTATTAAACGAACCATTGACTCATTTTTGAACATTTAGGTTATTTAATGTTTATTAAATATGTTACGAATTTTTTTGGTGCAAGCTTGGTGTAATATGAAATGATGACTTCTGAGCCCTGAGTATCGTGTCAGCACGTACGATCACATATTTCCCAGAATTGATTATACTCTAATAAAAATTCGAATCTCTGGTCACTTTGGCAGTTAATATTAGCTCTGAGTATGTATATACGGGGCTTGTTAGGAGAACAATGGTAAACGCATTTTGATATGGAAAGGACCCATTCATGCTGCTAACGACTGCAATCAGTGACACTGCTTGAAAATTTATAGCTGAAGTTTATTCGCATATAATTTGTGATGAAAGAACGCACAACATTCGTAGGATATAAAATAAAACAACTTTTACATTCGTTTAAGTCGAATTTCACTTGTTTCTGTAAGAAAGCCTATGCGACTCATCATCCCAATTAATATAACTGGGACAGTATTCATCTGTCAAATACGTTTCATCATTTTACCCTTCTCGTACGCCCCATAATGGCTAATTCAGTTATGTATCTTATCTTGCCTACTGTCAGGCACACTTCCGCACTTTTGCGATGACTGTTGAAATAGAGGCATAAATTCGAATAGTTATTGATTTAGTGCTACAGAGATCTGCTCCACAGACGTCCGCTTGAATCTGTAGCATCCGTAGGTCTACGAGCACTGTTTGGATTATGCTGTGCTGCGTGTCACTACATATAGTCGATATCCGCGTGTACGTTTTATATGAAAAATATAAATAAAGAGTTGGATACAAATAAAAAGCCAACTTAACTTTTGTTGACGAATTTTCGTTCTTTAGTTAAGCGTTCAAGACGACAAGTGCCATGAAATAGCCAATAACTTTCCTACACATTTTTCTCTAAAGAACGTGTCCACGTTTATGTGAGAATCGCATAACAGCGCTAAACTTGATATCTTTTTTTATAGCGGTTATGTTTTTTTTAAATTGTACTGGTTTATAAAGGTCTCCATATTCTGTGTTCCATATTCTATTTCAACATAATTCCTTCTTAAAAATCGAGAATTTAATGGACCTGATCGAGACAGTGCGGACTAAGAATGGATGACGACTCTACCCTAGTGAGTTGAAGAGATAAATACATAAGATTTATCATGCTATACGTAATCCTAATGGATTGTAGGCAAGACTCATAGTAATTGCAAGATAGGTCTATGAAAGGTAAATCTAGCCTACTGCAATATCGTTCTTCTTTTTTTATGAAAAAGGTTCGTACAAATATCTAGAAAAACGTAATATTTGGGGTTTAGGACAGATATTGAAATTCCTTGAAAAAATCTAGTTTACAAAGTGCGTACTTCTGTGTATTCAGCTACCTATGTTACTGAGTGACGATTGCAAGGTCCTTTACCTCTGTGTTGTAACATGGCCAAACGAAGATGAACAACTGAGCACGGTTCTACCTATGAATTTAGCGCCTCGCCATTTTTTTCATACGTCAATTCATTGAAACACATAATGAAGGGCAGAAATTGCTTTGTCCGCTTTGTTAAATAGGGGAGAACTGATCTTGTGCGATTTATTAAGACCACCTGAATGCCCTGCACCATCCGTTTTCACTGCTTCTAACCATAATGTACTATGGTGACCCTTGTGCTGCAGTTTTATAGCTCCTTGGGAGTAATACGTACTAATGCTATTGATACTCCCAATGTCCTACGAAAAACGCAGGAACAACGCGACAGAACATCATGCGGTCTAAACATTGTGCATCGACCGATCTGGAACCCATAGAAGTTCAATAATGATAGGTGCCGTTTACCCCTTGTTGTACCTACCTATGAATACAAGAAAGCGACCTGTCGGCTACGATAATGAGCCAAGTAGTCGAGGAGTGAGGGGGAGAGGAGGGGTCTGTAAGGAAAGCCGTGTCCAATTCATGGTTACGCCAGTGGGTTAAACCTATGGTGCCTAAAGCTTTAGTTTTTTCGATATCGGTCTCCGCAAGACCATAAAATAGCGAAGGAGAACTGTAAAAGAGTCGTCGATAGTCACAAAGCCCGGTAATGCGGAAAGAGATAAATGGAGATACCTGCATAGACTTCGAGATATTTTTCCAACATTTAAATACAGTAGTTTTTACAGCAGTAGCTCTGTAATCGATTTTATTCATTACTAGTAATTTTCGAACCGCAAAATTGATAACCCAAAGGCTGGTATTTTTAAGCTATTTCTAGTTTTTGTTAATCTGTCGTATGTGTCAAAATACGCTTTTAATTTTGCCACACAGCTATCATACTATAACCCCTTTTTATCGATTTACAGTGGACAAATTGTATCAATTTTTGAGTTTTTAGTTGCAAGTATGCGAAGAAGCACTTTTTTCTATTTTGATTGCTCTTCGTCTCAGCAGAAACGCGTGACACTTCATGGTATCATTGCACTATTCAAATACTGTCTCAAACCTAGAAACGATCATCTTAAATATGTTAAATAACAACTCCAAACATTACTTCGTTGCGCAAAACTCCGATAATCCAAGTGACTTCAATGTAAATTTACTTTTAATCGATGCTTCGGGCAAAACCGTATCACAAAGTCTGTGAGTGTGAACTTCCGTTGACAACGTTCTAATATTCTACAGGATGAGTACTTTGAAAGAAAGTCTAACTAGGAACTTGCATAGTTGTATTTTGGTCTCATGAGACGAAATTGATCCCTTCATATGGATCGAGATAGCTACTTTTTTTTTTTACAAATCTGATATCTGCTTTTTTAAAGGAGATATTGTTAAATTGTTAAGGCTAAATCATATGGTGTATTTACCGTAGAAAATGTTTATTTTAAGGTCAGTTCCACATCTTTCCATTACTGGTAGCCAAATCTAGCACTCCATCGACTTTACAGATTCAACCAGGGGTAAGTTGACTAATTTAGCGGATTAGCGCCAATATAGTTTCTGCCAATGCTCGTGGTTCCCTCTCTTGAAATAAGCGAACATATCTGCTTCAACCGAATCAGCTGAAGCTTAGACGACTGTGCTACCCCTATGGAGTTTGTAGAACCAATTGCTACGTACCAGGTTCTTCTACAGGTAACTGAGGTCTGGGAAACCTGCGCTGATGTTAGAACTTCCTATTGTAAATAAGCCTTAAATTCTCCCTCGAATGCTAAAGATGACTTGCCCCGTAAAAGTGATTTCATACTCCTGTGAAAGTCGGCAGTTATTTTTGTCAAGTCTCGCACCAAGACAAGCTGCCGCAGATAGTTTGTTCTTATATGGGACACCGTTGTTAAACAGAGAGTAAGTTTTTAGATACTTGCGATAACCACAGTAAACATTAGCATTACTACTTCCACAGAATGCAGAAAGCAGCTTAAGGGTGAAAAGGCACATTGTTTGACTCGACAAACCATCTCTTTTCTTGTGGCTTTCTCTATCAAGGACCCTAAGGGCTGAGCTTTGTTAGTCAATAGTCATGTGTATCTGTGATATTTCCGCTCTATAAAACTATTTGACTTCATGTACTAAACTTGTATTCGTTTCATTAAGAACAGACACAGACACGCGTAGCATAAAATGGGCAGAAATATTTTCTATAATGGGAACTATCTGTAACACCAAAACCCGATGGTGTTATCAAATATTTAGTTTGCTTAGAGTAAGTGAAGGGAGAGTTCCTCGCGACTGAAAAATGGAGTGATTTGTGTTGTATAGTTGCCTAAACAACTAAAATATGGCGCATGGTCGCGTTCATCGAAAATTTGTCATGTACATTGTTTTCCAAGAAAGATGTTTTTTTAGATGATTTGTTTTACTATTACATGGTTAAAAACAATTTATTTTTATTGGAATGTATGTTTGCGTTTGTAAGACTGTAAGTTTTTAGCTCAAATAAAATCTTTATTGAAGCTGAAGACATTATTACACAGTAGGTATTTAAAGCTTACCTTAATTCCACACTACGTTTAACATATTAATTATCTACATAATGAGCCATTTTATGTAGATGTATTGCCGTTCCTTATGCTCTAACATATGTACTCCAATGTATGGGCGAGCCACAGAACCGGTAGGCGATTAAGCATGAGCGTACTTGGTATTTATCATAATCATGGATTTTTTGGTAGATGCGAAATATGGGTAATAAGCAGATTGTTTTTACTAACTATTTATGATCTGTTAATTCTTGGTAATTCTTATTATGACTGAAATTATCTACAACATAATCGCGGAGAACGTCAAAAAAAATTGATACCATGGAGTACATAAAATTAAAAGCTTTCGTTAGGTTAAAAGGGTCTTCCAGTTGCCGTCAGTTATTCTCACTAGGCTACAAAAAAGGACTATGCATCTTGTCAATAACATTTTAATTGCCGATCTCATTCTGGGAATTTTCGTTGCGATTTACTCGATTGCACTACTTTTAGCGCTTTATGTGATTACACAAAAATATCTATTCGGAACTATCCATAGAGCTACTATATGTGATATGTGTGCTTGAATGAAAGCAAGGCCGCGGTCGTATTATGGGACGGGCTAACGTGTGGCAAATAATGAAAGATAAAGTAGTGTTAGTCAGAAGCACGTGAAGTTTCGACAGCCCTCATTACATGCGATCGTCCGCGTAAAAATCAGATTTGGCTGCATTTTTTTTTACTCCTTGTTGACCGTAATGTGTGTGCTATTGGGTGCGATCGTACTGTCGTACTGTTAGAGTCCTCGATTAAAATTATAGAGAGAAAAACTATAGGTAATAGCGGACGTGACTCATACGCACCACCGAATCCATGTTGATTGCCTCAGCGTGGCCATGAAACTAAGTAAAGCTAATTTCTTTAGTACTTGTAAAATATAATATTTGTCTCGTTAATATGATGAGTTTATTACAACGCATTCTGGAGGACGCATTACTTTGTCTAGGAGTTTGTTTCGATGCAGAAACGCAGTTGTTATTTTGAAAAAACGAATGTTTTCAAGCATACGAGCTTAGAAGTTTTTACTACTGCTATCAGTCACTTAAAATGCAGCGTTTAGGGTAGGAGTAAACGATTTACAAAAAGGAAGAGTATTTAATGAAAACATTCAGAGGACAGTTTTTAACGGGTAAATGTGACCATCAGCAGTTTCTACGACAAAGTGAAATGACTATGAACCTTTATCTCGCTGTTATGGTTTGTCCTTTGTATGACCCTGGCCGCAGCTCCGCTGTTGCGAATAGTAAGTTTAAATTAATCTCTACCTGCTTAGCACAGATGCTTTCAAAAAGTTAGCTGTTGACAGGAAAACATGCAAAACCATACAGAACCCATTCAGCACTTTGCTTTCGAGGAAATTTTCGTATTGCAATTTCCGCCTCTAGTGGGCATATAAATTCTGATCAAGCCTTGCAACGCGGTCATCGGAAATGTAGCTTTTACAATAAATACAGTGTATTTTAACTCCGTCGGGGGCAGTGGCAATCACGGCTATAATGACATCGCAAGTGTTCGTCGACGGGCACGTACCGGTCACTATATCGTGCTCTACTGCCTCAACGGCATATGTTTGTCCTTTTGCCCTTTCCATCTGTGCAGTACATACACACAAATTCGTATATATGTATATATATATATACAACCTTAAATATTACCTTTGGGCAAGACGTGTAACCATGTAGCAAGCGGATTTTTGCATATGATTTTTCACATGTAAAAATGATTTAAGCAACTGAATTCTACCGGACGATGTTTCTCTAAAGCTAGCCAAATTGTGATAGTTCAGCTTCAGCAAAAACCGTACTTACATTCATGAATGTTACTGCAGTGTGTATCCTCGAAATGGATTATTCATTGTAAAAAAACCTAGCTAACATATTGTATCGAATTGCGTTTATTTTTATATTTCGAGTTTACCGCTTGACCCCGCCGTTGGACATTTCATTAGATGGCTGGCTCGTTCCAGCACAAACTAACCGTGTGTCTCACCCAAATTTCAACACAGACTATCATGTGTCCCTCAAATTTAGCTAAATAATGTTTATGTAGATGAATGCCGCACAATCTGTCCGATTTTATTCTGGTTTTAGGAGAGCATAAGGAAGTGCAAGTCATTGCTACAAATAACCAGATTTGTTTAGAAAAACGATTTGAATACACATTATTATGGTGCCTATTTTTGACTTGCAGCCAGACTTAGCAAATACTATAGGTGGTTTTCATTTATATTTTGTCATCTTAATAAACCTTTTATTTATGGAATGAACAAGACACACGTTGTAAAGATTAGAGGCAGAATCAAATTTCTACAACCTCTGTTTCGAGTCTTTACGTCCGGTATCGCCGTTAAGCATTCCATCAGACGGCTGGCCCTCAGCATGAAACGAAGTCTGTCTATGCCCGGGTTCGAACCTGGACCGTAATGTGTTCCTAAGATAAACACACAAATATGTTACCTACTTAGCCATCAGGAACACAAATCCCTACAACCTACTAAGTCTAAAATTGCCTGGACACTGTTTGTTATTCCAAAACCGATTTAATTATTGGAGTGCTGCTCTTTTTCGACGTGTTCTCCTGGAGAAATCATGGCTAAGTGGGTCAGCGCTGTCACATGACCGGCTGGAGTACAAACAAACTTTGTGCTAGCTAATCCTTAATAATAACCAATTTAATAATATATATGTTAAATAAGTTGTTTGTGTTTGAGGCTGCTTCAGTTTATCTGTCCGGTTACTGTCTATCGCCGTTTCGTACGTTATTTATGGATTTGGGTCCTTCATTTGTTCTTGAATTGTAGGTTAATCCTCAATTGGACGTAATGCGGTACCCGGTGGATGTCGACCGCGAGGGTTTACAGCAATCTAGACTCCAGCTGCGTATACTCCTCGACGCGCGCAAACACTTTCGGCGTGGAAAGGGCCATCGTATACGGGTACGCTGCGTTGCCACTTTACGGGACGGCTTCGAACTTTTCGACGATCGGGTGTTTCATCAGCGGGGTCCAGATCCTAACGATATCGAGGCTCAAGAGGTCCTCCATACGCATCCAAATCCTTCAGATTCTGCCGGTAGGGAACGAGGCGGGGACCAGTTGAATGACAATAAAAAAAGTGTCATCCTTGCCGGAAAAGCAGCAGCATCTTCAACGACAGGTAATACTCCTGGCGCCGAAAGTAATATTATGCCCATATATATACCTGGTTCTGAATCACTATGAGCCAACTAAGTAGAATCTGTTATATTAATGCAATAATAACGCAACGGTATAGTGGACAGAATTCTACACAGATCAACTCCTGTTAACCTATAAGGAGTAGTAAACAGGACTAAGAAGGTTCTGATAGAGACCGCTAGATCGGTCGACATTGACAGATGAACATATACATCTGACTAGAATATTTACGAAATACATATTCTACATCGAGAATAATCTATATCTCGTAAAATGTTTTTATTCTAAAGTACAATAGTTACCGTAATAATTGCAAGTACTCTTATCTAATCTCTTTTTTGTATGCACGGTTTTGTTTTCCAGGATTAAACGGGCAAAGCTCATTGCTGCTTGTTGTAAACCTATTAATGTGTATTTTCCTACGGCTGTATAATACTAAAAATTATATTTAAAAATAAATACAGGTTATTAAAAGGTGGTTCGTTTTTTTTTGTATCTAATTTATAAGAATATTGCAAAATTTTTAATAGTACCTTAAAGGTCTCAAAGCCATCATAGTTTTTGGCGCATTTACGCCTTGATCGCACCAAAGCTTACTTCTAAATCGTCAAATATAGGATAAAAGGTGGATTTGAATTTCGAGATCATTTGCCGTGAATGTTCTGGAAGGCAGGCTACTGGAAAAACACAGAAACGGTAGTCAAATAAGAGTGAACATATCTGTTTTTTGTTCAGACCTAATTATCTAGTATAGAATCTACTCAAATATATATTAACATTTTTAACATTGAGTAAAAAAGTATAGCTGAGTAAGATCTGATGAAGTAAAGAACTATCCTTGCTTTATTTCTGCGTGTTTAGTGGAGGAGATTTTTGTATTTCGTGTACTTATCTATATTGCATAAGGGCCTTCTTATGTATTGATGTTTGCGAAATTTATCATTGACGGGCCGTTTCAAGTTTTAGTATTGTGCTCGCAAAATAGTTGATAAACAGGTTACCTTTAAGACACTCACCTATTTACCTGTGTTCTAAATTTTATTTCATTCAATAGGGATGGTCGCTACCAGACTTGATTTTGAAATATTGGCTTCAGACGGGTACACCTGTTAGCATATGTTTTACGAAATGCGTCCTAAGAAGTACAAAAGTTTTTGCGTCCTAGATCTTACAGGTACCGGCGCAAATACTCTTGGAAGTCTCATGACTGTAATATAAGAAGTCGTGTTATTATTATATTAAATTATATATTAAATATTTGAAGCAGCAGAATTGTATGACTCTACGACGACGTTGAAATTCTTGAAAACAGGTGTGACCGTATTCTTATAAAAGGTTATTATACACGCAATTTTGGGTCATCGCCAAAAAATTGGTCGTGTTGCACGAAGAAAAACACCGTCATCCAAATCGTTCCTGTACTCTGGTTAAGGTTCCAATAGTTTAGCGCATAGAAGTTCAATTTGGGCATGGTACAGCTTTGCATGATTCTTGCACATTGGGTGTGCTGTTAGCGTAGCTTCTTGAGATGCGTCAAGCACACGACGCGCACAGATTGTGTTGAAGCAAGCTTGTTTGGATGCAGCTTATTCTACAGCTTCAAAATCATGAGCTGTTTCCCTAACGGAAAGGCCTCTATCGATGACTTACTGAACTGTTTCGCTTACTCCAAGCTGGAGTGACTGTTATACTTCCCCAATTGTTAGATTGGAATAAATTTGTAGAATTTCAGGAACGAACTGACCAAGACAAATATTGTTCAGTTCTTGTCAAAATGTTTGAGCGTTTCAAGGTTCTTTTATAGTTAGAAGGAAATCATACAATATATCTCTCGATAATGACTGTCAATTTTCATGAGTTGCGCGTCCTGAGTAGATTAGGCCATCATTCGGAAGTACCACTTTTTTAATTAAATTTGAAGATTCTGTAAAGGCTTCTCTTTTGTTACATTTATATATTTAATTGCTTTTTGCAACTAAATTAAGTATTGCTTCATTCTTTATAAAACTTGGCGGTACCGTCTCTCCATTTGTATCAGCTTCCTATTTGACGTAAATATTAATACTAATAATAACAAGGTTTAGCCATGCTTAAAATAAGCAAAAGGCAATCAAATCAGATTTTGTAATACAGCTCATTTAGGTGAAACTATTAAAGAACCTGCAATGGCAAGTCTGTTACCTGGACTGGATTCTGCGTTTATTCTTGACTTCGTTATGGATGTTACGGGCGCAAACCTGAAAGCAGAATTGAATTCCTACTACATTTTAGAGTTCTCTATAAGAACGAAGTAACAACATAATAGGAAATATAGGAACAAAAGGTGGTTCGGGCTACCGAAAAGGTTCATTGTAGATGTTTATTTAATATCGAAACAATGGGACAAATAATTCCACTCTTACGTTGATGTTGTATTTATTCATTATATTTACAGTGAAAACAAAAGCATTTCACACAGCCTATTGTACTGCATGAAGCGTACGGATGTGCATTTCAGGTTTAACATCATAACACAAAATTGACACGGACAATACAAATTGCGTTAATAATTTATAACATACATTTTCACTAGATAGGATAAAAAGGCTGTCCAACTTACAAAGAGTTTCTTCGTGTGCTCCGTTTCAAGCTCCGATAGCTTCAAGTTCGTCTGCAAAATATTACAATTTATCAATTTTGATTTAGCTCGATAACACATGATTTTTATAAAAACATTTACAGCGATAATGGCGTACGTGTATTATAGATAAATGAGTGGATCAGCGGTAAATTGAGATTAAGTTTTGTTAGCTTGTTCTATTTAAGTCATTTAACTGGTAGCTTATTTTTCTTTGCTGCAGTAACTCGCTAAAATTGAAGTGATTTTCTAAAGAATACCTTGTTGAAAATTTATAACGATTTGAATGCATTGCAGGTAAGCCGTGTGTATATACATAGAAGATTCGGGAAGCTAGCCAAACTTTAAGTTTTTCTGAACTTCTTAAACAGCCTATGGATTTCTACGCGTCTAAAGTATCATATTTACTTACCGCGTTTTTTTTTTAATTTATATGTCGGGTTTTTATCATACGGTATTAAAATAAAGATAGGTCAAGTTTACTTTAGATACATATTACTATTATTACAAGAATAAAATAAAATAGTTGTGTTTGCGGAAATACAGTATTCACACTCTGACTCAGATTCTACAAGATGACGGTAAATCGTTATGTTTAGGTAATTTTTGCTATTTTGGAAATAATATATAGCCACTAAGCTATATATTATTTCCAAGAATCTTTGCGTAGCTATAAATGACGAACGAGAATCAAACAAATTCATTATCTGTATTTGTATATTTGACAACCGAGACCCTACTATTGTGACAGTGCTTTTATTTTAGCGGTTTTTAGTATTATTACAGGAGTGATACAAGCGAATATACTTACTATGATGGCATCTTGCCTTGCCAATACACAATCGACGGTCTGAAATTAGAAATTTTAAATATTTATAAACCCTTACGCCGATACAGTAGGTTGGGTCGATGAAAATACAGTTTCTAGGATTTTCATCTGTTTTAAATGTATTCCATGCGATATATACAAAGCGTTAGCGTTTTAATAAACTCAATGAAAAGTAAAATATTTACAATAAAGTATTCGAACAGACATTTCGTGCAACTCCAGCTCTGTGGGAGTACTCGAGTAGCGCGGTCTAGCAGCTCGATTTTTCTCATAAACGGTCCTAGAAATTTTTCACTCACTTTGTCAAGGTAATCAGCGTCTTGACAGGCGTTCATCATAAACATTAACAGTGACGCTTGGGCACAATCTTCCAGTTCACCGGCCATAGCTTTCACTGCTCGATCTCGTAGGTTACGGCCGAGTGGTTGTAGACACTTGTCTACCTGAATGATCACGTCGGAAACTGATTCGATGCCAGCGAATATTTGGCATAAGTTAGTTTTTGTCACAGTTTAAGCCATTAAACATTCTCATAGGATGCAGAATAGCCTATGATCTATCTAAATCGTAATCCGACAGAGCACAGTCTTTGCATTACAAACACGCTATTCAAATTTCACTCAAAAGGAGAGATTACGCAGTAATGTCACTTGATTCGTATTATATTATATTAGCTAATATTAAGGGGGCGTATTGATCCAAGTTTAAGCCATATATTATGTCCATGTAATATACTTTTTTTGTGATAAATTATTTCGACTCTATATTTCGTGCCGCAGATTTCACGTCAAAGGTGCTGATTTTCAATCAGTCTTCATGGTGTGTAGCAAATAATTAATAATTGAGGCGTACCACGAGGGCGATCAGAGAGTTAGCTATTGGGTTGTCGAGAATGAATTCACTGTTTTTCTAGCTAAATAGCTTTAAAATCATACACCTGAAGTGCTGTGAGTCGCGTCAGTTAGTGTCATTTAGAAGTTAATATTTAGCAGTAGTAAATGTGCTAGTGTTGTTAAGATGCCTTTATTCAGACCTAAGATTGGGCGCCTTGAAAATGAAAATTCGCTCCCTTTTACAAGTATTTTGCGGTAACAATATAATGCTGTCCAGGCCAATTAAAATTGTACACTGTTCATAATCCGGATGCGGTATTAGATGAAGTAGCCCGAACATGTTTCTTTCGCGGTTCTTTCCAGAAGGCAATTCTGGAAATTTCATTGTGAAAGACCCTCCTCGTAGTGATCGATCAATTAAAAAAAGGTTAATAACATTATTGCGAAGGTAGGATAACACCGACATGTAGATATTCATGATATTGCCAAGGAACTAAACATCCACGATCAATCAACTTTAAACCATTTGAAGGAAGCTTGTGAGGAATAGAAGCTCGGAGTTTGGGTGCGACACGAAATTGACGCAAAATAACTTGATCGTATCTTTATCCATGAAACTCTGTGGAAATGCAACGAATTCTAGCAGATTCTGAAGTGGCTGATCACGAGTAAAAGACAGTAGATCATATACGACAATAATATATGAAAAAATGTCGTATTCCCGGTGAGAAAAACTCTATAATCATTGGTAAAACCCGAGCTGGAACAAAGAGAGTAATACTATATGTTTGGTGGGAGCAGAAGGGAATCGTGCAGTACAATTTGTTGCCGCCAAGCGAAACGATTGATTAGGAATCCTACTATCAACTAGCAAGATTACAACAACCCATTAAAAAAAATCGTTTAGAACTAGCAAACAGAAAAGGCGTCAACTTGCATCGTGACAACACTAGGCCGCATATGTCCTTAGCTACCCTGCAATTAAATAAAATTGAGAGAACTTGTATAGGAAAGTTTGGCACATCCACCGCGTGGCCCTAGCCTTTTATTATAGATTTATTACCTGTTTCGGTATCTCCCAAGCTTTTTTTGTATGTTAATTCAGTTTAAATCAAGGAATGTAAAGATCACTTGTCGATTTTTCGATCAGAAACCACAGAAATTCTGCAGAGATGTGATTATGGTATTAACATGAAAATAATAAAAGTTCATCAATCGAAATATTTAAATCACTTCAAATATCAAATCACTTCACTTCAAAATATTCAAAAAATTTTTTTCAGTTTTGGCTTAAAACTAATTAATATTGTTTACTAGACAATCTCATTAAAACAACCTCAATGATATAGAATTATACAATTTGAGTGTTTACTAAGACAAACACCAGTTCAAAAAGAGTCTGAAATAGAAAATATTACATTTTAAATTCCTGTGCAAATAGGCTATTAAGTTATATATCCTCCGCCATTACTAGTGACGTTTTCTTATCTTCACACCAGATAATATACACCGTCTCGTCATAATGTACTTCAACTGGAAAGCATTTTCTGATTAAGTTTTGAGTTCTTGACCAAGTCGAAGGTACGGCTACAGAGAGCTACATAGCCAAACAAACGTCACAGGTGAAAATTCGTTGGCACGATATTCGAAGTATGAAATGGAAGCCCCTACTCGAAGTCTAAGAGGGCAGCTTAGTTGATGTTTACTGCATATGACCTGGCGTTATGATAAAGCAGAATTATCTGACCTGCTTTGTCGGGTCTTTTACTTTGAATAGCCTGGTTTACTCGATGCAACTGACCAAATAAACGAGCCGATCGATTTGTCTGGCCTGCAAGAAGCAATGCCTAGTAAATCAGGCCTTCGCAGTCTCAGGAAACGCACTACACTGAATGAAGATATGGTTTCACCTGGGCCTTGGCTTCTCTTTTTGGAGTCACCCATTCCGATCTCTGGTTCATCACGTATAGACGCCATTTCTTATCGCCGGTAACAATTCCGAGCAGCAAAAATCGGCGATTGCGGCCGCGTGACGCTTTACACTGGGCAAGGTGTTAAGGTGCATCGTTGAGCTGTAATCTTTTTACTTGATGGGGTACTTAAGTTTCAAGAACTCTTAAATTGTCGGCTGATCTGTTCGACCAATTCCTGAGCTGTTTGTCGGCCGTCCTTTTTTAGAAAGTGCCTTCATATGGTTGTCATCAAATTCGGACTATCGGCTACGGCAGGCCGCTGTTTTCAAACATGGCAAACCACTCCTAAGCGGTCTATCTAACGACGCGTCGCAATCGTATACGAGACTACTGTCCTTGTTGCTTCGATAGCGGTTTGTCCTCGACAAAATGCATAGTACAGGACTCAATGATTCACTACTTCCCTTAGAACCCCCACCTCTGAGGTGTTTCTTATCAATTGAAGTTGCACTAATAGTGCTATACGGTTACAGTATGCCGATAGAATAGGAAAGCGCTTTCGAGCGGAATATCAAGCGCAAGAAGCAGGTGAGTAAAAGTGAGAAAAACAGGTTTCTTCCAACCAAATGCGTTCACCTGCAGATGGAGCGCTTTCTGAATTCTAATCTATAATATTTCATTTCATTGGAGATGCATTGGATGTTTAGAAATCTTTCGTACATGGAAAATGAATCAAAGGTAGCTTTACAGATATAACAAGTGGGCTAACGGTCGGGTGCACGCTGGAGGGGATAACAATTATTTATATACAAATGATTCATACAAAGATTGCTTATAGTAATAACCATCATAACACTCTTTAACAGTATATGTGGGTCTTTCGCCAGACTGCGACCCATGGTTTTTTCAACCATAGGCCTGTTTGTTTGTTTATTACACCTCGATTATTTACCGGTTCGTATACCGTCGTACATTGCCTGTACGCAATCATTCACTATACATACTTTCCTCACGTGTACTCTCTGGTTCATTAAACAGAGTTTATATATGTGTATAAAATCAATTTCGAAAGTCTGGCTTTGCTAACCTTTTGCTACATGGATATTACACTGTGGCATCTGTGTTAGCCTAGAGTTAGGGTTGATTTGTGTTCACAAAAATCGTATATCACATTTGCGATGCACGGAAAGGAAAGTTATGCTTTAAGTATGATGCATGAATGAAATGCATGAAGAACACAGTAATAACTGAGATTTTATCCGGTAGTTTATTTATCCAAAGTAGTGATTTTTTTTAGAAAAACAGTGAGAAGCAAATTTAAGGTTATGGAGCATTAGCAATCTTGGCCCGTTATTCTAGCAACTGGTAACTGAGGCAGGGCGGGAGGAGAGGCGGTGCTGTCGAAGAAGGCAAAGGGTAGACAAACAGGCTGCGTAAACAGCAGCAATAAGTTGGTACAAACGAAAGAGCTCTGATCGACTGATCGGTTACCTACGAGAGAGAGAAACGGACTTTACGGAATTGCGAAAAATCCAGAAGAAAAATGGAATGAGTTATAGCGAGAGGCACGCAATTTATGAACAATTTTAGAGATGAGACGTAAGACACTGTTTCATGCTTGTAACTACTTCATTTGACATTTGTTATACTTCGCTCTTATTAACTTATTACTTCGCTCAATTAAATTTTAAGAGTCAAAGTTCAAGATAACGTTAGAAAGTGAGAACAATGAAGAGATGACAGTTGGCCATGGGTGATAAAGTGTTTTCTACTATCAATTAGTATTGTGATGTCGTTAGCGAAAACTTTGATAGATTCAGCGTTTAATATGAAAGAACTCAAATAGAAAAAGAAATAAAAGGCAGACGGGACGCCCGGAATGATGATATGGACCGATGTGGCGGTCAAGCGGTCCATAAATTGGCGATTGTCAGCGATTTTAGTATGGAGCAACAACTGAATAAAAACAGGATGACCAAGACAGTCGGATGCCTTCGCTGGTCAAGCAGCACGCCAATCACTACATACTCAGCTACGACTTGGAGATGTTTGGATACTATTGAGCAGAATGTGTTCGGCCGCTGGTAGTGGAGCATGTCCATAAGCCAAACTAACAAGGAGATAGGAGAAAGCTGAGTATCGTTCAAATATTCCAACAAGCAACATGATGACTATGGCTCGATAGGAGCTGACTTCATATTTTAAATCTTTGCTTTTGTGAATAGGAGTTAGAAACAGGTAGAAAGCTAAGGAAACCGTCATACAATATACATTAAGTTCGAAAATGAGCTCACCAGGGATCGGAATAGCGGGACAGTCAATATTAGCGCCTTCAAACTTTGCGGCGGAGTCGGAAACGCGTTCCATTAAAGACTCCTGTATTGTCTTTCGCTGGCCGACGGTGAAGCGTTCGAAACACGATAAACCCCCAAATACAATAATCAAAAACGCGCCGCCTGAAATTTTCTCATTAAGATAAAATGCTTGAAACGTTTAGCTAGAAAACTGGTATCAAGAAAGGGTGCGGAATAGATAAAGCTAAGACTGGTGTCATACGTACTGAAATAGAGCTAGTAACCTATTATCTACGTCACGCGTCAAATATAAATGTATATAATGATGTCGATAATTTGCTGTTTATATAGTTTTTAAAAGTAACGAAATCACGAATTAACATGTGCACTTCGCACAATTGTCGTGTAAAGCTTAATTTCAAATTGAAAACTCTCACTATATAACAGTCACGGGTATAACAGTCACGTTGTTTTTTTTATATACTTATTAGAAAGAGCTTTAGCTGTTTTATTAACGTATGCCTAAGCTCAACATATAATAGCAGAAAGACGTTACACGAAGGCCTTTATAATGCTATTTGCACCACGAGCTTGGTTAGGTTAATCTATAGTATATAAAATTAGGAAAAAAAAACTGGAATCTAAGTCAATACTTCTGAACAGAATAACAACAATACTTATTTATAATAATGCAACAATATGTTTGTATCCTTTCGTTAAATTTCACTCGTAACTAGGTTAGTTTTTAGATTAGTTGGATATCAATGCCAAACGACAGCTATTTTATAAACGTTTCTGCTTTCAGTGAGCTGCTTCAGCGGTAGAAAATGATTATCTTTTGCTGCGGTCATACACACACTCATCTTCATTATCGGTCGAGTCAATTTCCTTCTTATTGCCATATTTATCTACGTCGTTTTGACAGCACGCCAAGATAAAAAAAGGCCAATCGTTTATTGTTTTCAAGGGCAATCCACCAAACAAACTGTTTTATGTAGTTTTAGTTCGCGTAACTAACATAATAGTCCATAAATCGCTGAGTTTTTAGTAATAGGATTAGTAATGCAGTAACAAAGTACATTATTTCACCATAGTTCAGCGTACGTAACGTTCGACTTATACAGAGTAAAACTTTTTTTCTGCATTTTTTTTTTTACTTTCAAGGTCCGATTAGGATGTTGAGTATAATCATTAAATATTAAGGTAAGAGTATACACAACGGTTACAAATATAGGAAAGCCGGTTTTATGTGAGAGTCAGCCCAATCGCACAAGATAGCATATCTGTATCTTTTTAAATTGTTTGCCCTTAAAGTGTAAATTTCATCATCTATAGTAGATGTAGCTTAATCCTCAAAGGAAGGTACGACAAGTACTAAGCACAACTGATCCAATTGTATCAATATATTGTGAACTACGTGGCCACCTTAATATTAGTAATTCGACGTTTACTTACTCTTCATGTTGGCAGGGCGGACTGGAAGTTATTTCTTTCTCCGTAGCTGCTTGATGTCAAGCTCTACAAGGCCAGTACTCACTAATTATTAAGTAAACAGTAACGTTGACTGGCTAGGAAAAGGGAATAAACAGCGCCATAGTGTCTGTCTCTTTCAGTATCAGTCGGACATGCGAGACAAAATATTGCCTTTGGAAACCTGAGGTTTGCCCAAAGCTTCACCTGATCAATCAATGACATTAAGACGTATCAGATCTCTCCCACATTTTGTTGTATATTAAGGCTCAATTGAATTTTTGCCAACAGCTTATATCTCAAACTAGCGAGAGGTGTCGTCGGGTATGAGTCTAGTTCGTTAAGTAGTTTTTTAAGAACAATTCTGATTGATACGGAATATTCTCAATAGCAACATTGTATTTTATTAAACGGGTTGTAGACAATATTGATATTTCTATTCATCGACCAAGCAGTACGCGTGTTCCGTTATGCGGGTGATCTGTTCTACATAATCGGTCCATCACATTGTGTAACAACATTGTGATGAACCGATTATGACTAGAAAAACACGCGTCAATAGGTTCGGGCAATAACAGCTAATGACGGTTGTTCAACTTCTGAGTAATCGACCTACACAGAGCGAGAGGATACAGATCAAGACTTCTATCGAAAACCCATAATATTTATAATAAATTTTATAGACACACATATTAAGTAAAGGGAACTGCTTGTAATTTTTCGCAAATTCTGCGTGTTGGTATCAACTGCGAACGTATTATGTTTAGGGAATAGAATAGAAGAAGTGAACCACCGTGACAGCCTAATATTCATGAGAAATATTCTCTATAGATAATATAAAAGACCTTAGTAAGGTTGCTGAAGCAATACGGTCTGAGTACGATGCGAAAAATATGTCAAGTTTAGTATAAGCAGAACCCAATTCGAAATGAACAAAGACATTACTATGCTATCCTTGTTTATTGCTAAAAAAAACTGACATAGAAATGACAGCATTGAATATAGCCGTTCTTTTTTTGTTCTAATAGAGTGAGCTCGCGTGTTTACTAGTAAACAAGAAATTTGTTTAGAGTTCGATGCATTAGCCCTTAAACACGTCGTACATTTTACTGTATTGTCTACCCAAGAGGTGATTTAACAACAGATGTAGAAAACGCTCTAACTATTCAGTGAACAGATGCATTTATTTCGGTTCCACAAATGCAGGAAATATTTTTCTGTTATAGATATTCGATCGAACAGTCAGGCAATTATATTACGTATATAATGCTGTACCACGTTTCGTCAAGTACATTCCTAGCTATATGTTCTCCAGAAAATACTTGATAAATATAAGCTAACAACGGCAGGAGTATAATAAAACTGCCTTAATCGAATAGGTGTTGTTGTTTTTTTTCCGAAAAAAAAAGTGCAAATAATTCTGGGTACCCATCAAATAACTGTTTGATTTTACTATCAGTTGTATTAATTGATAATCACAAACAGTGTTATTGATGCGTATCTTTTACGTACTTGGAAGGATATCGTTACATCGCCTGAGCACGACTCTCAGTCGAAGGGTACTCAATCAATTGAAGCCGTAACATGAGTTTCGATCGCAGCTGCAAGGCAGACTGTTTCATGAATTATCAGAGATGACACGATAGAAAATCGGGTTGTCCTACTTCCGAAGCGAAGCTAAACAGGTTGATCAATGTACATGTATATAAATGTAAAAGTTTCCCAATATTACCTATTATCATACGTGTAATACTTCCTATTCGATACAGCATAATATCAAGCTAAAAAAGATAGCTGACACAATAAGGTATATTCGCATAAGCTCGATTGTTGCAAATGACAATTTTGGGTTACCAATTTGAGACATTATCGATAAACGGTAGCCAAGCTTAAGCCAAGCAGCCGTATTCGCTATACGATTGATCAAATCTGCATAGATAATACTGCAAACGATGAAATATACATATACATCATCGTAGATACGCACCACCCAAACTGACTAGAAGGAAAATAGGTAGAAAGATGAAGGTAAGCGACAGCCAATGCCAAAGGAGTGGCAAAACACCGAATCATGTATAGGAAAAAGCGGGCGATGGTAATTTTCAAAAACGAGCATATTTTGTTCCCGTTTCATGTGATTTCATATCAGGCTGACTTGACGCGGATTTTAAAGCTTTCTGGCGCTATTTAATTGATTATAGATGCACTATTTCTCACGGAATCCATTTTGGCACCTCTGCAAACCGAAATTATTGAATTCTGCTGAGCGTTAGGCAATATGCTACATGTCTATATACATACACGTATAGTAGTTTTTTATGCTAAACTAAACTTCTTATTTATTTCTGTCAGTTGAATACCTCCCTTCTGCATCCTCTTGACTTCGCTGTATAATTACAGTGAAGTCAAGAGAGAATTACGCAAAAAGGGTTCTAATTGCCACGAAAATCTTTTAAGATTTCTGTCGACTGGAACATAAAACACGAAACGATTAGTACAGAACTTAGTTGAATTCGAAAGCTTAGTACAAGGTTTAATCTATTTTTACCAATGTGCTTATTACTTGACAATCATAAGTTCTTTTTTTGACATAAGACAACGAAGTTCCTTTTTACTTAATGGAAGAATCCTTTGAGAGACGCCTCAAAGTTATTGGTAGCATAATGAGTCGCTATCAACAACTCCGCAACGCATACTTAACGTATGTCTCGATCCGCCAGCTAAAAATCTTCAAAGTAATCTACACATACCTTAATCAAGATAACTTAAACATAGCGTTTACAATATGAGATTGTTGCGAGAGAATCCGGTGAACTTTAAGATTCAACAACTTTTGAACAAACAAAATTGGGCTGATAAATATTCCAATCTTCTGAGAACTTCTGAATGAGAATCAGTTGAGTTTGTTTCGTGAGAAATAAATTCTAAAGAATTGCATTTTTTAGTTCCGAAAATACACGCTTGGTGGTCATGTTTTGTTTTTTCGAAGGCCACAGCCAAAATTAATCGAAAATTGCTTAACATATTAAGCTAGGACGTTTTAATGGTGTAAACGTTTCAAGGACGTAGATTGAGGTATTGGAGATCAGCAAAGAGATGCTAAAGCGTGAAAGACTGCCACAATCGAGGAGGCACTCCATGGAATCGGAACTTGCAGTCTAGGGGCTCTGTCGGCTAAAACTGATATTTTGTCCGTAACGTGTTACAGAAGTATTACCCACGTACTGAGAATTCGGATAGTGAATAAAAACAGGTTCCTTGTAGATCGATCTCAGGCCAGTTGGAAATGCATGTTATGTACCCCATGTGTAATTTGCAGGACTTTAGTTAATAGAAAAACCAACCTAGAGCATACGATCGCCGTAGACGAAGCATGATTCAGTCACTGGTGCCAGCCGGACAGACCCCAGGCGAGAGAATGATGTTGCCTTAGAGAGAAATCGGGTTCAGTGGCGATGTCGAGTAGGTCTGAACGTGATGGAAATACTTGCACTATACGTCAGGGGCATTTGCTGGTATAAGATACTCGCCAAAAATGAGACAATCAGCTCAAGGGCTTCATCGACCGCTGGTATGACGATGGAAAGCACACAGTCTGGTCACTTGATGACAACGTCAGACGTCATACTTCAGTTACTTCCTAGATTGTGTACCCAATGT